TAGAATTTTTAATGCTTCACTTATTTTAATTGTTCTATGTCCTTTTGTAGATAATAACTCATACATTTCATTTAAATGTAATGTTTCCATATAGTGTGGTAAGACCATCTTATACAGAAAAATTCAAGCCACGCAATGGCTTTAAAAAGATTCTTTGATTTTGAAAAAAAAATTATCACATATTTCTGTATGTTTTGGTACAACAGGTTTTTTTTTTTTTTAATTGAGCAAAGTAATTTATTGTAGTGTTATAATATTTCTACAACATGGTAGATGTTTTAAATCAATCCCAGGAAGAAGCACAGCCTAAATTTAGGAACACAGATTTTGTAATCACATCTGGATTCAGAGGAAGACTGTGCTCTTTATTAACTTGGGTTGGATATCTAATCTTCATTTTTCTCATCTATGCAACGGGAATGATATCAACCACATAAGGGTCTTATAGGGATTTAACAATATAATGAATTTGTAAAAACTAGCACAATTCCTGACCCATAATAAGTGCTCACCACATAGTAGTACACATTAAAATTATTATTATTTTGGATCAAACCTTTGATTTTTCTATATATGCTTCCTTGCAATTATAAAAAGATCATATTGTAATGAATAAAAAAAAGGGATTGGGGTTTTTCGATTTATACCACAACCTTGGGGAATCTGGTATAAAAAAGAAATATTTAATATTTTACTTCCTATATTGTGCAGATTGCCTTCATATGGTTCTTTTATAGTTCTCCGGGAATGCCAACTCACAAATTCAATCACAAGGCCATTTGATTACCTTACCCAAATTAGGGTTAATGATAGTCCTTTATACACAGTCATCTTTACATGTTTTAAAATGTATATTTATCTGGTGGGCACAATTGAGTATGTAGTAATACCATTTCAAGTTTTACATAAAAAAGCCCAGATTTCCATGCAAATTTCTCTATTCAGCTCCTTGGTTAGAGAAGAAAAAATAATTCATATTTGGAAAGATATTGAAGCCAAATTCCCATTTGATCTTCTATATCTTAGACCCTGTAATTCCGTGGCCATGGGGCTTCATTGTTCTAAGCCATTTCTGGCTTTTTGACTTAAAGAAAATCTTAAAAAATATATTCTTTAGCTAAAGCACTGCTAAAATTGAATTTCCAACTTCTACTAGAAGGTTCAGGTTTTAAAGCCTTTCCTTTAATTAAACAAACATTTAAAGTAAGAAATCCATTTCTAACATACTCACTAAAAGTGTGTTAAATTTAATTGAAATATACACATTTCTCTAGTACAGGATCTTATTAGGTCTCTCAGAAGGTGGTATCTTCATACCTATGGACTTAACTCTGTCCATATTAAATTTCTGACTGAGAACTTGCTACTTTGGTGATTTAGTGTGAGTCCTAAACTATCATGTTGGATGAGATTCTTATAAAATTATATTAGTCACATTTTATATCAAATGAGATACTGATGAAGCAGTCTTTTAAAAAATTAGTTATGAACTTGTCTTCAGGAAAAGTGGAAAACATGGCTTCCAAAATTCTTTTGTTACAGACATGTCAAAATTTAGGTAGGTTTTTTTTTTTTTTTTTTTTTTTTGAGACAGAGTCTCACTATGTTGCCCAGGCTAGAGTGCTGTGGCATCATCCTAGCTCACAGCAACCTCAAACTCTTGGGCTCAAGAGATCCTCCTGCCTCAGCCTCCCGAGTAGCTGGGACTACAGGCATGTGCCACCATGCCCGGCTAATTTTTTCTATATATTTTTAGTTGTCCAATTAATTTCTTTCTAATTTTAGTAGAGACGGGGTCTCGCTCTTGCTCAGGCTGGTTTTGAACTCCTGAGCTCAAACGATCCGCCCACCTCGGCCTCCCAGAGAGCTAGGATTACAGGCGTGAGCCACCACGCCCGGCCAAAAATTTAGGTAGTTTTTGACAGAAAATATGGCACACCAGTCGATTACTGGGTTGCTGTGCCATTTTTAGTAGGTAACATAATTATGAATGCAAAATAATGATGCTTGGGAAAACATGCCAATTAAATATAACCAAAGAGATTTCCCTTAAATAAACCTCTTCTCTGTGTGCGGTCATTTGTCACACTCTACACAAGGATAACTTCCTGTGAGATATGAAGCAATATTTTTCTGCCTTAAAGGACATCAGCAATTGGTGGTAGGTCAATCTCATCCAACCTATCCCTTCTGCTTCCCACAGACACTCTTTCTGCCTCTGAGTTATTTTATAGGTTACTAAAGGAAAGGTGTTTACAGATGCTAAGTCTATCAAGTATAAAATAGAATCTATCTTTTGCCTGATAAATAGCCATGAGAAAACTCTTCTAGGTGAAATGTTTTAATATCTTCCTCTCCAAGACCCATCTTAAAATTAAAGATCTTATGAATCTACAGTTGTCCTTCCGTATATTCAGGGGATTAGTTACAGGACCCCCATATATACCAAAATCTACACATAACTCAAGTCTTGCAGTCCACCCTGTAGAACCTGGGTATACTTAAAGTCAGCCCTGGGTTTTCAACCAGTTAATTAAAATCGTATTTTCAATCCGCCTTTGGTTGAAAAAAATCCATTTACAAGTGGACCCATGGAGTTCAAATTCATGTTGTTCAAGGGTCAACTGTATATGATTTGTTAATTCTTGTGTTATTTTACTAGGAACATTCAATTTCTTCTATAAAGAACGTTTAAAAATTTTCAACCATGTAAGGAAATTTGACTAAGATAAAGACTGAGGCATGTGTTATTTAGAGAAATGAACTAGACTTTGTAATCCCAGACCTCAAATCAAGTCTAAATGTTTACAATGAAAGTTTTAAAGAATTATCAATTATTTTCCAGTGCTTCAGGAGATAAAAGGAATGTCAATCCAGTGAATTTTGGTTTGTTTTTTCCAGACCACAGTATAATCCAATTCAGATTTCTCAGCCTTTTGGGAGGGGGAACGACAAAAAGCTACCATGTGAACTTGTTTGTTCTTAATGGTTAAGCCTTTTTTAAATAGGATGCTAAAACAATACCACATTCAGAATCGTTACTGTGAGAATTCAAGAGATGTAACTTCAGCACACTACTGCACTTTTTTCTTTACAACTAAATACTGTAGATCAAGAGTGTGCTGAAATTACTCTTAATGCTTCACAAGAAGTGGCTTGTTTTATTCTCTTGCAAGACTATTTCATTATCATAATTTTCAAGCATGCTGAGATGTCATAAGAACGCTCCTAATTGCTTGGATGTCGTTGACCATTTTTTAAAACATACAATATCACGCCCATAATAGGCAAGGGAGAACTAAATTAACTGGCAGCTCCAAAATGTATCCTCCAAACAAAAGACTCTTCCTCAAACAGCCTCACGTGGAGAGAATCTTTCCTAATATTTTCCAGTAGGGGGAACTAAAGACTCACCACCCAGTATTTAGCTCGGCTCATGGACCTGCGCGAGTTCGTATAAGCCGCCTTCTAATCAACCGAACGAGCATCAGACAGCTACCAGCGAGCCTGTGATCACACGTGGGCCCAGCCACACCGGCCACACCGGGGCACCGCAGACTCTGGCATCCCTTTGATCTCACCTGGCCTTCCTTAATCATCCCTACTAGCGAATGACTTCACGTGGTAGCAGTTGCCTTAAATTTCAGGGTTTTGGCGTCTTCGGGCTGAAATTTGGCTCTTTGGCGGGGGGGGGCGTCTATTAGCTCAGCTGTGTTTTCAGTTTTCCTGGATGAGAGCCTATGTTTTCCGAATTTCTTTTCAGAGATGCTAGTCTCTGGAGGGTAAAGACTTCGGGGTCCCTCGCCTCTAAGCTCTTTGATCCCGTTCCTCATCCTAAGCATCTTCTGCTGAACTCTTTCCATCCCACCATCCTGCATCAGACTCATCTGTGAGGGGTCATAAGCAACTGAGTAACGGAAGAGGTGATGCCACCCGTTCCCCTCTCTCCTCCCCCCGGGGACACCGCGGGGGACCGTAGATCTTGGCTAAAACGAGCCAGTAGAGGTTGGAGATTTCGGTGCGCCTCCCCCCGCCCTTTTTTTCCCTGTGCTGCTTTCACCGTAGGACGCACCATACACAACCTTTCCGGTCCAAAAGGTGGTGGTTATGTTTCGCACCCTTTCCTTTTCTTTCTCCCGCTCAGCTTCTCATTTTGCTAAAAGGTGAAGAGTGAGTGTTTGTGCGATTTTAACGGGTAATGAGGCTGCGCCCTGGGTCCTGGAGGATGATCCTTTTCCAGAAAGCGCGTGCAGCTCCGACAGACGGAGGGATGAATAATTAGGAAGGGCTTCCATGAAATCACTCACCGAGAAAATTACCTGCCCATTAAACGGGACGCGGCGAGGAGCGGGAGGCTAGAGCCCACCTATCCCCTCCCGAGGCGGGAAGGAGGGGGAGCCGGGAGGCGCCCAGAAGGGGCAGAGTTGACCGGTGTCCTCCGCCCTAGGCAGCCGCCGGGGCTCCCAATTTGTTAATTTCCGTCCCCCGGCACCCCCCTCCCACTCCCCGGCGGGCTGGCGCCCCCTGCTCTGGCGGGTGGCGGAGTCTGGAGGTGGAGGGCTCGGCGTACCCCTCATCCCCGCCCCCCTCCCCGGGGCAGACTCCAAGCCGCTTTCATTCCTCCCCTCCCCGCCCGCCTCCTCGCCTTCCCTCCTCTAAGTCCTTCCACCCGCGGCAGCTGCTGGAGAAGGCGGACGCTCTGCTGTCGGGCTGCGGGAGCAGCGGCAGCCGCGGCTGGCCCGGGCGAGCGGCTGGACCGCGCCTGGCGGCCGGACGGTGCGCTCCTGTCCTCTCCCGCTCCGCGTCCGGCGCACACGCCCCGCTCCGCTCTCGCCCGCTGCCGACCGGTGCACAATCGCCCAGAGGCGGCACCGCGGGGGCGGCCGCAGCCTCAGCCCCGTCCCTCCCTCCCTCCTTTCTTCCCTCCCTCCCTGCAGCCCCACCACCTAGGAGTTCGGATTCTCCACCCGAGTCGTCCTGATTTCCCTTTTCCTCTCTTTTGGAAACAAGAGAGGTGGAGGGAGGCAGCAAGGCTGCAAAGGGGAGGCCCGCCAAGTCTGCCCGCCTGCAAAGTGTTGCTTTGACACATCCTTATTATGGAAGTTAAGTAAAAAAAAAAAAAAAAAAAAAAAAAAAAACAACTCCGGACGTGGAGCTGCTACGGAGAAGGAGACGGGGGAAAGCAAACCAGTAGGCAGGCCAATGGTTTTTCGGCAGCGCGCTGGCAAGTTTGTGGAACACTTTCTAGGAATTTGGTCTTTTTCCTTCCCCTTCGTCTTCTTGACTTCTGAAGAAAAAATTTGGCTTTGGATTGCAATGGAGCCTAACGACAGAGGGTTAGACACACTTGAATAATCCCTCCGGCTGGGCTGAATTTGTGGGAATTTAGGAAGCCGGAGTGTGGAAATACAGCAGCCTTTGAAGTGCCCTCTGCTAATTTGGATGGATCTAAATGTGCCCCATTCAAGACCTCTCCGCCAACCCCTTCTGATCTTGCGATTTGTTCTTCTCGACTTTAATTAGTATCTAGGAAAGTCTAAACTTTTGGACCTACCTCTTTTTTTGATACTTATTTTTGTACGTTTGCTCTCTGGGATTGGTTTCTTAAACAATCTGGATCCTTTTTAATATGTCAAAATGAGTCTGCTGATGTTTACACAACTACTGCTCTGTGGATTTTTATATGTTCGGATAGATGGTAAGTTAAAAATGCTTTTATCTCTTTTACTTAGCCGCCCCCCCCCCCGCACAATCATTTCTTTCTGAGTGGGATATGGGTTATTAATAAAGTGACATTTTGTCTGTTTGTCCGTTTTGGACAGGCATGAGCTGTTTAGGGGCAAAGGTTTTAAGTCTTTTGTTTCTAAACTGCTGCAAGTTGATCATGTTAGTTAGTGGTCACCTATTGTTATTGTTGTTGCAATTTACTTCATTATTTAAGGAGTTGGATAATAAAATGATGGGCTCCCAGTTTTGTTAGAAAAAAAAATATTGAAGTAAATCGCCTGAAAGAACCTAATACTCTTGTGCCTGATCTCTGTTTGATGTTTGCTCTTGTGTCTGAACTTTGGCTTAGAAATTCAGGCGAAGAAATATAGTAATACATACTCCAAGGAAGGTTCAATGGGTTAGAAATTTGAGATAGGGTCTCTCAGGGATCAATGTGTATCACCTGTGTGCCAGCATATGCCCTCCTAGCATGAAATCAGATTGAAGAATTTAGATCATAGAGAGAAAACTGTCAAAAGTAAGACTGGGCGAGGCTCCAGAAAGGACACAGCATCAGCTATGGGCTGGCTACAGGAGCGGAACACTCCTGCACCAGCTCAGTCGCCAGTGGGCAAACACAATGGGGACCTGAAACAGGTGCTGTAGGTGTCTCCCTTTAGGTTGAGTGAGTCTGTGCAGCAGAAAGCATTCTGCCTCAGATTCTCCTGTCTTTTGTTCAGATTTGGTTTCCTGGGATATTTGCACAGGATGTCAATTTCTTGTGAGACTATTGCAAAATCCTTGTTTGTAGTTCTTTTGAATGAAGAGGGGAAATAATCATGAACATGCTTTTTGGTTAGTTTTCAAAAGACAAAAGTCAAAAGAATGTTTGGTATTAACCTTCTCAGGGACTTTAATTTTTATATCAATGGCAAGGATTGGTATAACAAGAGGACTAGAGCATTTCTTTTTCCTAGAAATGTGGATTGTAGTACTTTAGATTTTTTTAATTACTTACTGCACTTGTAAAGAATCTGAGGTGTATTGGTGCAAATACCTGAGCCATTATAATGGCTTGTTGCTACATAAACTTTTCTCCAACATTTGCATTGTGGACGAATTCATTATTTGGGACCCTGCCTATTTTTGCCCATCTGTGGTAGCTAACTTTGTTCCTGGCAGCTGCTGCTGCATAGAACCCAATGTATTGGACTCAAAAAGGAAGCCTTTCTATAAACATGAGGCAATACAGATGAGTTTACCTACTGTCAAGTAGTTGTTTTCAATCATGGACTACATGAGTACCTTTGCCCCTCAGCGATAGCGGGGAGGGATGCGTGTTCGCGCGCTGCCTCTCTCTTTCCTCCTTCTAAGTAGTAAATGTTTAGGAATGAATTGCTGTGAATTACGCTATGGCAATATCTATGATATCTGCAATCACTCGCCATGCATTTTCTTCTTCAATACATTTACATTACCATAAAAAAAGGTTCACCTATTTGTCCCAAATGTGTTTGATTATCATGATAAGAAGATTTTGGTATAACTTTTGAAATAATATGTCCTCATAAACCATGAATTTACATATCTCAATAACAGAAATGTATGTACAAGGTATATATTAAACTACAGAATTATCACTGAGTTGTTTTTTTTTTTTTTTTAACCAGTGTGTCGCTAGGAGGAATACAATTAAATTGCTCAGTGGAAGTGACATAAGAAATCAGAAAAGCTTGGTGTTACAGAATGTAATTAATGTACCAGGGTGTTTGGAGATATATGAAACAAATGCAATTAACCAGCTTGCTGGAACAGCAGTAGCAAGACATCATTTCTCTCCTCCTTCCTTCCCTCCCTCCCTCCTTTCTGACCTCCCTCCCTTCTCTCTCCCTATATTATCCCTCTCTCTCTTCTCTTCTTTCTCTTCCACACCACCCCTTCCTCTTGCCTTAAAGACACACCTAGAACCTTTGTTCTGATTTAACATTAGAGGATAAGGAGGTAGTTTGTGTCTGGGCCACAATTATGCAGCAGAATTCATAGTAATGTAGTGAAAAATGCTGGGATTGAGGAGTTGAGACTGAAAAGGCAATGCTAAATTTTCTGTGTGACACTAGTTTTGCATTTAGCATCTGCTATGTCAAAGCAAAGGAAGCTGTGGACATTCTTAGGAAATTAGTATATAAATCGTATGTTTGACATTGGATTGCCTTTGGATACTTCGGAATGATGACAGCTTCTCCATGGGGAATGTTTAAAATTTGGATTGTGGACAACACTGCCCTCTAGGCTGTTTCAACACTTTGGGACCCAGTATTCACATATATAATGAGGAGGTTGGTTTGTAGGACCTCTAAGCTTTGTTATTTTTCCAGGATTCTATGGTTTCTGTTTACTCATTATCCTTCTTAGATGTGTGTGCTTATTCTCCATATGAATTTCAGATTTAGAGAAGCTTGTACCATTTCAAAGATATACTGACTATCCTTGTGCTAGACACAGAAATTAATTTTATTCAGTGACAAATGATACATATATTTGCATTGAAATTTCCTTGGTGGGTTATTTGTATGTGCATTTTTATAGTGTATGAAAAATGTTAGAGTTTTGCCTCTTCATGTAAGATATGTGCTAATATTATTTATGATTTTGTCCCTGTAGCAATCCAAAGAAAATAAATATGAAGCTAGTTGAGAACTACAGGCAAACTTTTCTATTTGGGATGTAAATAAACATATTCTCATTTGATACAGATTAATTAACCACATGTAAATTTTTCTCTACCAGTATATAGGAGAATATTTATTGAGTATGGATGGCCTTTGTTTTTCAGATTTTCTTTATTTTTAAATTTTTTAAATAAGAATATAGTTTTGCAGTTACTTATGGGGGACTAATATGAGCCATCACAAGACTTTTTAATTACATCTATATCCCATATATTGCATCAATCCAATAATGCTACAATACTTGTGAAAAGGTGTTTTTAAAATGAGAATGGTTTTCTCATCTTTACTACTTAACTATTCCTAAATGAAAATGGCACACATGATATTTGGGAAGATAAAGATAATGTGTGTGCATAGTGCAGATGTATAATCTCTTACAGAGGTTTATATATTTTGCTGAAGTGCTTTCAGTAATGGGGTTATTATTGTAGCCATATGTAGTCCATTTCAGGACTTAAATTGCATATGAGTAACCTGAAATTTGTTCTTGTAGCTATGCAGTAATATCACATTTGAATTGGCTTTGTTTGAATAACCTTTGATGCTATGCAACATGTGGACCATAAACCAAAAGGATTTCTTAGAACATTAAACAAGAATATCGTAAAGAAAAAAAAAAAGGTCATGAATATACAAAAAGAACAGTTCTGGCCATTTTTTTCCCTGAGCAGCCTGTATAAAATAGCAGCTTTGACAAAAAAAGTATTGATCTATAAGTACATTATATAAGTTTGGAGACATACATAGTAATGAAGGGAGCTTATGCATGTGGGATGTGTGTGTGCCAAGTAATATCTGCTTAAGTAGTTCCTGCAGTCCTATAGGAGATAAATTTACTCCCATGTGCAATTTGGTTTTTGAAGAATATTATGAAAAAAGATTATATTCTTAGGTATTTCTCCTCCTCTTTCTTCTTTTTTCTTCCTCCACTTCTCATTTTCCTTTTTCTCTTTCTTCTTATTCTTTTCCTTTCCTTCTCATTCTCCTCTTTTTGGGAGAGGCCTGGTGAAAAGACTTAGAAAACATTTAAGGCATGAAGAAGACAGGTGAAAGTGTCTCTTGCAGATTTAAAAATCTGCATTTAAAGGAGATATGTTAATAATATATAAAATGATAATATTTTACTTTTGGGTATATCGAATGGGAGTTTTATCTTTCTCACTTTTCTTTTATAATACCCGTATAACTTAATGCAAAGTTGTATTACATAGATCCTATCTTTCCAGTTTGACAAGCAGAAGTCTCCAGATCTGAATTCAAGCGGACAATGGAAACTTATAGAGTTCCCTTTCATAGATTTATTTTTAAAGAAAAGTTATGTTTCTTACAATGTCTCCAGGTGTAGATCTATCAAACTTAATTAATACATTGAGATGGGTATTGACTTGCTTCCTCTTTTAAAAAAAATTATTGCGTATAGAATGAATGAATGATTATAAATAGTCTTTTAAGGAGAAATTTCTATAAGGTCTTTCAGTGTTTTAGCAGTGTGTTATACCATAATAGAGATGTAATGTAGCATCTAAAGAATATCATACTCACCCAAAATACCAATCACTAACTCAAAACAGTGTTGGAGTAACCTAGGCCTCAATCTTTAGTGTTTTCTCTTCCATTTGCAGACAATCATTAGAATCATGCATCTAATCTTATGAGTTTTAAATACATGTTTATGCTGATACTTTTCAAATTTCCCTAATTATTACATGGAGGAATATATGATTCATGAGGACACAGCTTGGCTGTTGTATCTCCAGTGCCTGCAGTAGTGCATGGCTTATCTCCCAACTACTTGACATCTTTGTTTCATGTCTAATGAGGATGTATCAATCTCAAGCCCAAGATAGAATTTGCTTCTCTTTCTTGTCATTTCCATCTCAGTAAATGGTTTCACTATTCTCAGACTTTTTCATGATCCTAAACTGGTAATCATTCTTGACTTGTTCTCATAGCCTATATTCAACTTGTTAGTGAACCATTGGAAATCTATACTGATTCCAACTATTTCGTGTGTATGTTTGCATTTTTTTCTCTAACATTTTATGAACATTTTCAAACTTTCAGCAAAGCTGAAAGAATTTTACACTGAACACTCAGATATCCCCACCTAGATTCTGCCATTATTTCGTTATACTTGATTACCACCTATCTAACCATTTATCCATTCTTCTATGTATCCGTTAATTCATCCTATTGTTTTGATGCATTTTCAGATAATTAGATACCAAATGTTTCTTACTAACTTAACTACTGTCATCCT